AAGGGAGGCGACGACGAGTGAAGACAGACCTCAGCTCTGATGGTCTCCAAAGATATCTCTGAGAATTCATTTCCAAATTTGTAGTATTTTTAGCAGAATTTTGTAAAATAAAAACCGTTTGAAAAAAACAATTACTTTTGAATTCATTTATAAATCCAAACGATTTTATAACCAATTGAGTGATGATTTAATTATCTGTCAAAACATCATTTATAATACATTTTAAAGTAAAGTCTAACAAAACTTATAAAATGAGATCATTATTAGTGGTATGAATCAAGCCTTAGATGTACTGTAGTTTCCATACTTTAATCCCAGTTCACCACAAAGTAATGACAATTAATGTGATTTTTGGATTAAAATCTTTTAATTCATTTATAACTCCAACGATTTATAACCAATTGAGGGATTCTTTCATTTATGTGTCAAAACATAACTAATAAAAGATCTGAATTTAAAGTGTAATTATGAATAGAGTAGTCCTCGAAAAATGAGATCATAATTTCATTTCCGCCAACTCTTGGTATGAGTTATTCGTTGTCATTATCTAAGGGTTTCCTATATTTATCACAACATAATGCTTATGAATGGGACAAAGAGTTTAGTAATTGTCTAGTTAGAAATAAGTCTATTTGAATAACAATTTATTTAAAGTAATTAAAATGTATTTCTATATATTTATTACAAATGATTAAAGTAGTAAAATTAATATATATTTACAGATTGGTAGATTAGTTGATATGTTAATAAGGTTACAAATTCAGCATAGTAGAATAGATTCTTGGTTTATGCTTATTAATGTTAAAATTGTTCATAAAATTATAAAATATATCGTATTTATAAATAGTATAAGAATTATCTAAAGTGTAGACAATTGTATGAAATATTTGGTGTTAAACAGTGTTTTCAGGCATGTGTTGATTGGATAGGTTTGAGCCGATAATAGTATTTGCATTGAGACTGCAAACCGTACAATCGTTTGAGTGATGTCTGTGCTCTTCAGCGGTGGTCTTCTTCTTGGGAACAAATTCAAGGATATTAAGCCCACGATTGATATTATTTTGTTGATTGTTCACAAAACTCTGGTATTCGTAATAGTCTTTAGCACTGCATAGAGGAGTGTCCACTTCGTATGTGTTGTTGAATCGGCCGTAATCTACACGATATTCACCCGATTCACGCCTATAGGAAACCAATTGTTCAAACCTATGGCCCCATAATATTTCTGATGGCAAATATGATGAACGCGCCTGAACTGCAATAACCATTCAAATAGCGTATTAGAAACAAGAGTTTAAATAACAATTTAAATCAAAATATTTTACTTGACTGTCCCGTCGACTCAATAGTTCCCTCTAGAATGACAATTATCTCAAACTTTTCTCTCATCATCTCTTCTGAGCTCATCTATAATTGTTCATATGTTTAATGAGAGGTCATGTCATAGGAATTGAGCCTTACATTAAAGAAGGGACTCTTCTCATCGATGATGTGGACTATAGTCGCGGGCCATATGAGGAAGACATTGGCGTCACTGCTATCAAAGTTGGCGTCGATGTGCGTGTGATAGTATGAGATCACTTCGCCTTCTTGTGTCACTTTGCGGCTTATAATCTGCGCGGAAACTGAGGCACCGATTATATGCGACCGATTCCTCACATCACCTGATAATACGAGCAATTATTTAGTATTCATTTCACTTTAATGTTTGATAAACTGACAAATTCTGAACATTAGACATAGTTTAGTGTCTCGAAGACAAACGATTGCATTTCGGCTAAACATCAGTGTCTGTGATCTCTTCTGCGGTCGCGAGAGTTTGGCGAATACGAAGCCAACCATAAAACACTGGATCATTACTCCCACCACTGACTGCATGCACATCACAAATATCGCTTCCGGACATTCTTCGGTCGTATATCGAGATCCATAACCTGGAGTTAAATGTACATGTATATTATTTTTCATTCTACTCTTAATTATACAGTCAATTAATTTATAGCCTCATTTATAAATTATTAGTTACAAATATCAATTAACTTATTTAACATAAGTTCTAGAAATTTATATAATTAGTTGAAAACTTTAAAGACAAAATATCTAAATAAATATTTAAAATAAAAACATTAACATAGATTGTGTAACATGATTATTAATAAATTATTTATTACACTATTGATTGATTAGCGATTAAAAATTTGATTTTATTAATTGTGCTCATATTTCTTTATTACAGAACTTATTTATTAGAGAACTTGTTTCGCAAAACAGATGCAATTTATTAGTGATGCTATCGATAAAGAGTTTATAATAACTCAATTAAAATCAATATCTTTTTTACATTTACGTTATATCAAAGTCTGTGAATTGAATACTAATTTAATATTCAATTATTGTTCGGTAAATTGTATGCAACATAAACGCTGTAAGAACTTAAATGTACTTTACTTAATGTAGAGTACTTTTAATACCATTATTATTATATTCATTGAAATTTAGGTTTATTTTATAGTTTCACAGATTTTTAGGCCAACGAATCTATAGTTTTGTAAACCGATTACTTTATTTGTAATCGATTGACACAATTTTAAATTCTCAATCATTAGCCGATAAGCTTAAGATTTTAGCTTAAATTATATACATATCACAAACTTTACCAACGTAATTAGCATTGACCATGTTATTTAAAATAACTTATTTCTAATAAGGTAGGGTGGGATCATTTTTATACCAGATGAGAATTATTATAACAGGTAAGAGGCTGGATTTATGTGTAAAATGAGTCATTTTAAATGACATTTGACCCTGGTGTTTAATTGGTATTAAATATATTGATGATATAAAAATGAATAATAAAACGATTGATTAATTACCGATTGTATGCTGTGTTTCGATTGAGAAGAGGAAAGCGCTGGTGAATGAGTGAACATTCTTCACACACGGAGTCCACGACTCGTTATCGAGATTATTGAAGTCTGAGTGGGAGAAGCAGATCAACCACCACAACACCGAGAAGCCCAACCAACTCAGTATAAAACCCATCGCAAACACCAATAGATTCCATCGCCACTGGATGTCAACCATTGTAGTGAACAGATCCTGGAGATAGCGTTTGCTTCGCTTATCGATGTGTTCTTTGCATAGATTAACGTTTCCATTCTTGAGGACAACTCTCTTCTTGATTCTTCCGGGAAATATTTTGGTCGATTTCATGCCATTGATTGTCCGATAAAGTGGTGTCGTTTGTCCGTCGTTTAGGTTAGAGGTTCCCGAAAATGTCAGATTCCTCTGCAGCTGTTGATGTTTCATACGATACAAATAGTTCTTTGACTGTTCGGTAGTGACCGTCGAGTTCGGTGTCTCAGAATTGGGCGCCAAATCAGATGTGGGCGACCGAAGACCAGAGGGTATCAACTCTTTCCAAACGCCCTCCGATTCCATAAAAGCTTTCATTACTTCACTTTTTTCGCTAATAATTTTGCGTATAAAAAACAAATTGACTTCAAATAACTACACGACAACTAATTGTTGATTATGTTCTGTAGTGTAATAAATATATACTGCATATAAAAATTGATCCCTAAATCAATTCAAAACCAAATCCATAGATAATTGTTTTGCCAATTCAAGCAATAATTTGGGAAAGAATTAAAATTATATTCAGTCATAAAAAGAGAATTTGTATGATTTAAAGGTAACATTAATATTAATTATGAGCCAAAACCGCAAACTCATTGCTCTAATTCTGATTAACTCTTACTTATTCTATACAATAGTTTTTGAAGTTTTATGGTTAAGGCTAAGGATTTAAATTTCAAATACCTTTTTGTTTTTGTAATTTATGAGCAATTATCACACGAAATAGAAGTTATTTTCACTTACGATTAGATTGTAAACTATTTTACCGCATATGTGTTGAGCAAAAGTATCCTTAATCTAAATCTTATTATTATATAACACTGTTTTAAGATCTCAAACGTATGAATAAATTATAGTTTTTATTTAGTATTAATAAATCAGTGTATAATCACGTCATGAGTAACTAATATATATTACTTTTATTATAAGACACTTCTCTCCACTCATTATCTAATGTCAAACAACTGAATGAACATAATTTGCAAATCTCTTAAAAGGAAATCAACGCTTAAATCATACGTTATATAGACTTATGATTAGGAAAATTGATTCAAGTGTTGGACCCCTCGTCTCTCTCTATACTATACGAAATACATATCAGACTTACTATTAATCAAGAATTTGTTTGCTTTTATTGGTCTGCCTTTAAATGTTTGTTAGTTTAGTATATGTTTATAGAGTTAAACACGAATAATACAGAGGACTCAATGCCCCATAAAATTTGGTTTTCCATTGCATTTTTCTCCACAAACCATATATTTATTGAATATAATTTACTCCATAATAGAGTACTGTATGAGAAACTGAGCGTTTAATTTAATAAAATGTTGTGATGTTCAAGGATAATTTTTTATTATTAATGAATCGCTAAATTCCTTTCTAATAATACAATTCTTTTACCATTTACTATATTATAAAATTTTATAACTAAAAATTTAAATAGGCTTTAGTCAACTCGTTCAGACTTCAGACATACAATAAATCAATGTAATTAAAGAGTGTAACTAAACTTGTGATAAAACTTATCCAAATTTATCATAATCAACATTAATTGTCACCAGTTTTTCAAGTTTCTATAAAATAATTTCTAATTTAATAGAATCATTGAAATATGTGTTTTGTTAAATTATTTTAATTTATTTCAATTACATTTAATTAAAATTGATTTCTGATTCTTTATATAATCAGACAATATTTAATTTAAAATGAATGTCAACTTAACATACAGTCATAGTAGGACTTTATGTTATTTCAAAAGTTAAAACAATATTTAATCTGTGATTTTTACAGAAAATAATAATGAAAATAGTTATTGAATAAAACGAAAATTTTTATTAGTAAAATATTAACTAAATATACAGTTATAGTTAAGCAAAATATTTTGAACATATATTGAATTAAACATGTTTTTACACAAATAAAACTTAACAATGAACTCAAATCGCATACAATAATCAGGAAATAAGTTATATTATAAAAAGGCTTCCAATCTCTCAAATACACAACAAAATCAAATGTTTGTAATGCATATCGTCTTTAAATATACTTTTTAATATCAAGTGATTGTTTGAATTCTGGTTCGTTCCGATCCATACCGGCAAACGGTTTATACCGAATTGCTTTATGATATATTCAAACAATCGCTTATTCGACACATTATAATAAACATTATATTTTGAATTATGTGAGAGAGAGAGAGAGAGAGAGAGAGAGAGAGAGAGAGAGAGACGAGGGGTCCAACACTTGAATCAATTTTCCTAATCATAAGTCTATATAACGTATGATTTAAGCGTTGATTTCCTT